AACAAAACTGATGACTACAATTGTATTCATGTCGCTCAAACTCCCACCATGGATTCTCTCAAGCTGGTTCTTTGATCTTGCTTTAATCTACATGTTCTTTAAATTTCACTCCTACATAAAATTTTAGCTTAGATCACCAACTTTTCCAGTTTACCCTTTGATCTGGGTAATCGTTTTTACGCATTTTTTTGGATCTCGTTTATTTTATGCATGAAGTTTCATCATTGTTGGGTTTCGGATGTTAGTTTTGTGCCATTACTAATTAGAAGTTTCTCACATTTTAGATTTGATGTTAACTTAATTTTTCTTCAGAATGCTAGGTCGAGATTCGGATTTCTCTATAAAAGGACAAGCACTTGTGCTTAATGAATAAACTTAATAAATATAAATGATCTACTATTTTTTAGGCTTAAAGTAAAAATAAGTCCTTAAACTATGGTCTTCTTTTGTTTATGTCCCTAAATTAGTTTTTTGGTCAAAATAAGTCCTTAAACTATTACATGTAACCACTCTAAGTCCTGCCATTCTTTCAGTTTGATTTTTTTTTCAACTGATGAGATGTTTACATGTTACACAAAATTAGCTGCTTGTTTTGATTAAAAAAAATAGTGTTGGGAATTGAGCAAAAAAGGGACACAATTTATGGGTTTAGTTTGGCCAAAAAATAGTTTATGTACTTAAAGTGTTTACATATAGTAGTCTAAGGATTTATTTTTACCAAATATCAATTTAAAGACAAAAAGCAAAAAAGAGGCATAGTTTAAGGAATTCTTTTTAATTTAAGCCCTTTTTTTTATATATAATTCATTAGTCTTTCAGCTTTAGATTTTACATGATTAGTCTACGTTATTCCGGTGTCACGACTGAGTGTTCGAAAGACAGATAGCGATGTTTGAATATGTTTTAGATATGATATAATATGTATGGTTACTTTAGTAAAAATGAAGAGCAAGTTGCATAATATATATCAGCTTCATTCAACCAAAATTAGGGATTTTAAGTATTTTCCATTTGGGACAGTATTACATTCTTTTGCTTCACAGATGGATTCCGTTTCCATATATCATCAATATGCCATGAGCCTTAATTTGATCTGAGTTGATAATTTTGATAGGGAGCCCCTGAAAAGTGGAGATTAATCAGGGCTCATGGTTTGGGAGGCATTATTAGATGGGTTGCTAGGTCAGCTAATGCTGAGGCTGATGCTTTAGCAAAGGCTGGTATTGGCTAGCTTTGAAGTCTTTTGGTTATGTTTGGGTCTGTTATTTTTTATGCTATGGGTTGGTGTGTATAGGGAGTCTATATGATTGTTCCCTAAGTATTATGTAATTTATGTGTTTTTAATGAATTATAAGGCACTCTTTTCCTCCTTCCGCTGATTAAGGAGCACTTTATGATCCATTAATCATGAAGGGGGTTTTTAATGAGGCCTGCCATTCCTATCAAAAAAAAATCAGGGCTCATGGTAAAGCTGTAGGGCTTCCCACTGAGGATGACATGGGAAATAGTGAAGTTGGTCACAATGCCCTTGGTGCAGGACGCATTTTTGCACAAGGGTAAGCTTCTCCTCCTGCTTTGTTGCGAATTTTATCTTGTGAACTGTTGTTATTCATCTTTTACCTTCCATATCCGAGTAACAAGAGTGGTAGTGTCAGATATGGTATATTAAATTTTCTAAGTTTTGCCATCCATTTGGAGAGTCCTTGGAGGGTAATATCTGGCATATCTATGCCCGAGTATATGTCGAATGTGGTTACTTAAAGCATAATAAAGAGTCAAAGCAAAATAGTTTCTTATTTCAAAGCATTCTGCATGCATCTTCTTTTCTGTGGTATTCCATTTTCTTTCTATCTCTCGGAGATGGACTTTTGACATATTAGCTGTATTTCCAATGTTATAACCTGTTGATTCATTTATAACTATAGGGCTAAGCTTGCTGATCTCGCCTCGGGGAAAATCTATGAGGGAGAAGAATTTAAGTATATAATTGAATGTTTTGAAAAGGGAACTCTGCACCTGATTGGATTACTTAGTGATGGTGGTGTCCATTCCTGACTAGACCAATTTCAGGTAATTGTGGTCATTCGAGACAAGCTTCTTGCTAATTTGTTTCCCTTTTTTGTTTATTAATATATCTTTCCTTTTCTGCAGTTGTTGCTGAAGGGAGCTAGTGAGCGCGGTGCTAAAAGAATTTGTGTTCACATTCTCACTGATGGTCGTGATGTATTGGATGGTTCAAGTGTAGTTTTTGCGCAGACTCTTGAGAATGACCTTGCAAAATCACGTGAGGGCAGTGTTGATTCGCATCTGGTGGAGGCCGCATGTATGTTACAATGGACCGTTATGAGGTGCGAAATAATTGTAGAAGTTCCCAAAGCATGTGGTACATATAAGATATTTATTATTGTTTTGCATGAACAACTCGCAGTTCTGTCATTCTTATTGTTTATGTCAAAATCTAGGGAAGAGATTCTACCTCTTTTGAATGGAACAAGAAGATAATTTTTGTGGGTCTATCTTGTGCAGAATGACTGGGACGTTGTGAAAAGAGGATGGGATGCTCAGGTTCTTGGTGAAGCCCCACACAAGTTTACAAATGCTGTTGAAGCTGTAAAGAAATTGAGGGAAAATGCCAATGACCAGTACTTACCTCCCTTTGTTATTGTTGATGAGAATGAGAAGGCCGTGGGTCCAATATTATATGGTGATGCTGTTATTACTTTTAACTTCCGAGCAGATCGAATGGTTATGCTTGCTAAGGCACTTGAATATCAAGATTTTGACAAATTTGACCGTGTACGAGTTCCTAAAATCCGTTATGCTGGAATGCTTCAATATGATGGCGAGTTGAAGCTTCCAAACCACCACCTTGTTTCTCCACCCGAGATTGACAGAACATCTGGTGAATATTTGGTATATAACGGTGTCCGTACTTTTGCATGCAGGTTTGTTCCTTGATTTATAAAACAATCTTTGACTAATCAGATAAGATAATTTGAACCCATTAGCTCCCGACGTTCTCCATTGCTTGTTATCAATCAAGCCTCTTAATGTTAAAGTTAATCAAGGTCCTTAGTAATAATTCATTAATGGACTATTATCATCTTTGAGTGATATTTTAGTGAAATGTGGATTTTATATTTTTATATCTGATTATTTATTTGCTTACTATATGTTAATTTTCCCCTTCCTGTAACAACAGTGAGACAGTCAAATTTGGACATGTCACTTTCTTTTGGAATGGAAATAAATTTCAACCACGAAATGGAAGAATATGTTGAAATCCCAAGTGATGTTGGCATTACGTTCAACGTCCAACCGAATATGAAGGCAGTGGAGATTGGTGAAAAGGCTAGGGATGCAATTCTGAGCCGCAAATTTGACTAGGTGATCGTTAATGGACTAATTACTAAATAGTCATTCAAATCAAGGAAGGTTGCTGATGAGCTCTTTTTTATTCGTTTAGGTGCGTGTGAACATACCAAATGGTGACATGGTGGGTCATACTGTAGATATCTAGGCTACAGTAGTGGCATGCAAGGCTGCTGATGAAGCTGTTAAGGTATGATGGCTCGGGTTCATTCTTTGTTTGTTACTTGGAACTTTCTAATGATTTTACATCATTTTAATGAATTACGATCAACATAAAGATGACCATATGACATGCATCATTGGGTGCATGAGTATCATCCAATTATGATCACATTGTGTGGCTTTACTTGATTATATTGTTGTGTTCAGATTATCATCGATGCAATAGAGCAAGTCGGAATATATGTTGTGACTTCTGATCATGGCAATGCTGAGGACATGGTGAAGAGGAATAAGTCCGGACAACCTCTTTGATAAGAATGGCAATCTCCAAATCCTCACTTCCCACACTTGTCAACCTGTAAGTTGCCGAATGAATTGAACGAAATGATCTTGGGTTTTTGGCTTGTTTTCATTTAGTATAACCTAGGGTGGCCCGATGTAAATTTGCATGATATGTGTGGTGTCATATCCATTTTTAGCATAGAAGAAAAGGGATCAAATTTGCAAAATACTCGTATTCTGATGTAGTGTATCTCTTCATTTAGAGTGTTGTTAAGTTTCTTGATCAATTTGTGATGCATACTTTGGATGGTATCCAATTAGGCACCGGGGGTTAGATTCCGGAATGACGTTCCAGATGGGGGACTGGCAAATGTGGCTGCAACCGTCATGAACCTCCACGGTATTGTAGCTCCCAGTGACTATGAGCCAACACTGATTGAAGTAGCGAACAATTAGGGGGTAGGCCTTTTGCACTCTTTTCCTCGAGGCTTTGAATCCCCATACAAGTTTGGAATAATGATTTATCTGATTCCAAATGCTCAGTCTACTAAGATAGACATTTGTGGTTTTGAGTATGCTTCCCCAAAGTATCGAGATAAATTTTAAATGGATTGACAAACTTATTGCTCTATGTTTGCATCTTGGAATATCTCACCCGTTTTTTCAATATTTTATAAATATGCACGTCATATCATTAGAATCCTAATTAAAAATAATTATTAGTTAATATAAAACTAAAATGTAATTTTTTTTTGAAGTGGTCGGGGTGATTACAAGATCTCTTTTTTACTCGTTCAAATCACATTTTATAGACGTAGTTGTTCGAACTCAAAACTGAATAATAATTTATTTCAAATTTCAAATGCCAAAAGAAGAGTGTTGATAAACCATACTCTAAATTAATCTTTATAAAATAATAGTATTTAGTTGAGAAACTCTCAACTGTTTAACAATAAATGTTGAAACACATTGCAAACGATGGACATTTATAACAATCATTCCCCAACTGTGAGAAAGCAAATGCTTGTCATTAACCACAAATAATGTTCATGAAGGACGCACTTCCCTCCGTTAGGCTTAAATCTACTTTTAATAAAAGAAAACGAGATTGTTGAGTATACCATGAATTTATTTATCTGAAACAAAGAAAATATAAAGGCTGCTATATAACATCTCTACTTACATAAAATTACAAGTAAAAGGACTAGCAAGCAAGCTTCGGCTACAATGGATTCAAGTACAAACAATCCCAAATAAAGATAAAAAAAAAACCCATTGGGAATAAAATATTAAAATTTTGTCTTATACTTGCAGTTTTGGTCCCCAACAGTGGAATTTGATAAAAAGACGGTAAAATCGCACGAAGACGACGAAACAACACTGATCCTAAACATATTCAACACGCTAACCTTGCCCGGGATCTGTGTCTTAGTGCTGAGTGGCAACTGGCCACTCGTCACATCGGAGAAGAATTTCGAATCGGAGATCAATCGGTCCGCCATTACTGTTAGCGTCAGGTTCATGGGGACGGTTTTGTCGGCAGGGATTTTACCTGCGGGGATCGGGACCTCCCCGACCTCTTGGCCCCTGTAATTCAATTGGGCGTTCGAGTCCTTGAATTTGAATCCCACTTTGTTAGGGTTCTCGATCGAGATATCGACGTCGAGGGTGGCGTTGAGCAGCACCTGGAACCTGGCCAGATCGACGGAGACTTTGAGGTCGCGGAGGGAGACGTCGTCGATGGCGGTGACGGGGCGTTTGGCCTTGAAGACGGTGAAGGCCAAGATGACGATCAAGAGTATGACGAAAACCAAAACGCCGATGACGGCGAAACAGATGTTTCTCCGTCTCCGCCGGTTCCTGAGGACTCTGGCGGCGTCCGAAGTGCCCTGTGGGGTTTCCATTGGTAATTTATCAGTCTTGTTCCTCAATGATTCAATTTCCATTATTTGATCGATTGCTTCTTCAACGCCGAAATTCTCGCAGCTTAAATCTCTGGGTTTGTTTCAAAAAGGAAAATCAAAATATAAATAGATAGACCCAACAAGTAAAAGAGCAACCTAATTAATAAATGGTAGCATCATAAATTTGATTGTTTGAATAAGGTGAACGAGGGGAGGCTGGCTTCTTTTATTTATTGCTCTTCAGCTTCACGTGATAAAGATTTGCTTAAGACGATCCAATTTAAACTGGACTTGATTACCACGATTTTCATTCAGCGGAAGAAGAAAAATAAAATCAAATCAAAAGCTTTAATCAACATTTAACTAAACCCCCAGCAGTTGGCCTGAGTTCAAACCTCACACGTTTGGATTCTTTATTTTTCACTCTAACATACTACTATCATGGCATCTTTCCCAATTTAAGTTAGGTTAGAGCCACTATTTTATTAGGAACAAAATTTGACTCGACTTGAAAAATTGATTTTTTTTTTATTTTGAGTTATTCGGGTCAATTCAAATTATCAATTCGATTTTTGAGTTGGAGTCAAGTTGAATTTTTAAAGTTTTGAGTTACTCGAAAATCTGACCAAGTATTTTGACAGTTTTACAATTTAATCTCTGATTTTATTATTCTTTCCATTTCTCATTCATTTTAAGTCCATTCTTTTACCAAATCTAAACCATATATTTCTTCATATTTGACATACATATATCATGTAGACTAGACTCAAATTTAAAAATTAATCTACTAAATACTAATTTTTTTAGTTTTTTAGGTAAAAAAATTAAGTTATTCGAACTATATTTTATAACTCACTCAAATTTGATAAAATTTAAATTTATTTTAAGTTGAGATTATAACACTTTGTCGAGGTCGAATCGAAAAATTTAATTTTTTGAGTTAAACAAATTTTGTTCACCCATTTATATACTTACATAATGATAAATTTTTTGGAAATAAATTTTAACTAAATTAAGAAATTAGTAAAATAAAATAAAATATTTGTTATTTAAATTTTTTGATAAAATAAATGATAAACTTGATCTTAGATATCTAAGTTCATATTAAAATTTTAGATTAAATTTAATTATAAATAATTAATAAAATATTAAAAAATAATAATATTTCAAAAGTCTTGTATTATAAGCATATATAATTTTTTGTTTGTATTGTCTTTATTAAGGTAAATATATCTTAAATATCTAATATTTAATTGAGATGTCTAAAAACAACTTTATTTTTTTATCTGAAATTAATTGTGTCACCATCTTTGGACGTATCAAACGAATTGTCTGCTAAAAAGGATAAAAAAACTATAAGTTTCATCTTTGAAAACTACATATCTTCAATTGTTTATGATTTTTTTACAGTAAATCTATCATATTCCTTATTATCCCTATTGTTTTATGCGTACAAGTGCAGAACAACTTAAAGTGGTAACTGACATGATATGTTATGAATTGTTTTCCCGATGAATGTACATTTTATGTTTCTTGAGTTTTTTTTTTTTGAGGAGGAGGAGGAGGAGGAGGAGGAGGAGGAGGAGGAGGAGGAGGAGGAGGAGGAGGAGGAGGAGGAGGAGGGGGGGGGGGCGTTGTTGTTGTAATGAGATTGTCATCACGTTCATCATGGTTGTATCTCTTGGGTAAATCATATCTCTATTATCAATCTTTCATCTATTATTATTTATAGAGTTTCAAAAGTTTTCAAAGATTAATATCCTTCGAGTAACTACAATCCCCTTCCCATTCACAAAGACATCATAATTAGTTGACCCGTGTATATGCCATAGCCAAATCTATTATTTGACAATAATATTTATAAACTTTACCCGTCTACGAATAGTCATAATTACTCTAGGTCTAATATTAGTACAAATGATTAATATATAAATCACTATGCATGATTGGAGGATGGATCTCGAGTTCTCTTCCCCATCTTTGACCTCTCTCAGATTTAGAAGCTTGTGATTTTAATTAAAGAAGCAAGTGGACATTCTTACTAAATTAATTTTTCATGTTTGTCTGGGGTAAGTATACGACAACATCTGTTCAAAGATAACTCTCAACCTTTCGACATTGATCGTTTACACCTTTGGCATTTATGGTGTTTGAACCCTATTCATCAAGAAATAACAACAATTCCTTTACTACAGTGGCCACTTTAGTTCGTGCTAAAAAATGATAATTTAAATAATCTTAATAGATAATTTTAAAGGCACTCATTTAAAGCATTTTTTTGATAATATATTCTTTGCTTGCTTAGCTAAAAAGTTTGGAGTATCTTATTCCTACAAAATTGGGTTTCCATGTTATTCGTTATAAGATATGCTAAACTTGTTTAGCAAAGAAGCTGAGGATAAGATATTCGTTGTTAAATATACTTGAAAAATCATGTTTTAATACTCAAATAAGTCTTTATTTTAAAAAAAATTAATCAAAATTTATATTTTTTGGTATACAATTAAATTTCTAAATAAGAAAAAAAAGTTCTTTAATAACGTTAACTATTAACTTTAATGAAAACAATATCTGAAACTCTTTTACCACGTGTAGCAACATGTTGATGTCATATGGTATTTTAATGATGTTTTAATTTAATTTCAAAAATTTTGAAGAATTATAAAAATATTAAAATTATTTACTTTTTAAAATTATAAAAATTTATTTAAAATTTTAGAAAATACTATGCAAATAAAAATTAAAATATTAAAAAATTTAAAATTCTAAAACATTTTAAAAATTATTTATTTATTTTTAAATTACCAATATACTAAATATTATTATAAAATTGTTAAATATTACTAAAATTTTAAAAACCTATAATATTACATATTTATTTTAGAATTATTAAAATATTATTAAAAGCTATAAAATTATTTAAAACTGTTAAAAATTCTAAAAATAACTGACAAATATCTTCTAATAGAGAGACCACCAATAGTTTTCAGTAATTTTTTTTAATATTTTGATAATTTTTAATAATAGTTTATACGTTTAATAATTGATATTCTAAAAATAATTTTTAGACACCTCCTAAAACTTAAAATTAAAATCCAATTTGTAATCACACAGCTTCATTGACGAAATATCTATAACAAGCCATTGACAACTCATATTCTAACTACATTGTCTCATAAAAAAAATTAAAATAATTTTTTATATTCTAGTATTTTAAAAATATTTTTACTAATTATTTAATATTTTTAAATGATTATGTGATATTTTTATATTTCTTAGAATAATTATTTAGCTTTTTTAAAATGATCTTTTTAAAATTTCATAAATAAAATATTTTTAAAAAAATAAATTTCAGGATTTTTAAATTTTAAAACAAATAATATTTTTTTAATTTAAAACTACTTATAACTTTTTAATACAATGATTTAATTGGATAAATAAGAATTTAAAAATTAAAGTGATTTTTTAATTTTAGAAGCTTTTTGCATCTGTATCCGTTAGATTTAAAATTCTCTAGGATTAGTATATGAAAGATTGGAGTTTAACAATATTATTTTATTTATATATATATATATATATATATATATATATATATATATATGGAAAATGTGGGACTCTCCTTTGAATATTTATATGTCATTCAAAATAGTTGTGGTTGAAAATATTGGATTTAATTTCATTGAGTATTTGAATTAAATAATATTAATTATAAATAAAATAAATTAAGTTAGAATAATAATTTTTAATGGAATTTTTATTACCAAAATTTGAGTCAATTGATTAATGAATCAAATATTCAATCATTACAAAAATTAAAGAAACGTCGTTAAAATGGTTTATTTTATTAGACATCATTAAACTATAATTTATATTTTATATCACTAGTTAAATTTTAAAAAAAAATTATTTTAAATGAGCCTTTAAAATATCAGTATCGTACCAATAGTGACGGATCTAAAAATATTTTTAAGGATAGACACATACATACGTATATTGACAACATAAAATTTTTGTATGAAGTGAATACATAAAATTTTATGGTAGATACAATCTATTAAATAGAACTTCAAAATAAAATAATTCAGATTTCAATACCCACCTTAAATAAAGCATGAATCAACCGGTGTGTATCAATAATGTCCTACCAACGTAACAATAGTTTGGACATAATATTAACTTGTATTTGACAAGAAGTATATTTAAAGCATACAAATCAAATTTTATATTTACTATTTAGATTTTTTTGATAAATCTGAAGTAAATTGTAAGATATATTTGTTCACCTTTAATTATGTGACAATTAACGCTCATATTTTTATATACACGGTGCTCGAATTTAAAACCTCAAGAGCTAAAATCATTAAGGTGATTGGTTCATACTACTATTTAGATAACTTGAATATGACATTTTTTTGTCATAAAAATACATAATATCTTTAAATATATGAGGTTTTTAATATTTAAAGTTATAGATGTTCATGTGATACATACATACATATGTATTTAAATTTGATTAGCATATTTTATATATGCTATTTGAGTTAATACTCAATGTTCAAAATAATAATTAAATTAATAAAAAATGACTGACATAATATTAGTACTTTAAAAAATTGACATCTAAAATATCAGATCTAGTACGAATGAAGTTATCTAAGTAGTTAAAAGAATTAGTGTTATTCCAAGATGTACTTGATTTGAGCACATCGTACGTCAGGGGTAGCGTACACTATAAAATAAGTTGAAAGTCTTTCGAACATATACTATCCTGTAATTGCTATTAAATTAATCAAGAAAATATAAAAAAGTCTAGACCACGTTTTGGGATGTATTGGGTAATTGACTTGTCTTAAAAATCAAAATGAAATTGGTTGGGGTGGAAAATTTATGAGAGTCGTAGTGTGGGGACTAGAAGAGGAGGCGTTTGGAGAATTCATACGTAATGGGTTCTAGAAAGTCGACACCGGTGTGACGACGCTCATAGTAACGGTGGTTTACCGGGTCAAATGCTGTTGGGTGTTGTGTTCACATGGTGCCAAGTATTCTGTTTTCATCCTACTCCACGTTTATACGTTATAAGAGAAACAAAACAACCCATATAAAATATTATAAATTAGTGATATAATTTTTTTATAAATCAAGTTATTAATATGTGAATTTCTGTTGTGCGGCGGTTAAAAAACGGCGTGATTGGTTAAACAAGCGACCGGTTAAAAAACAACCCATAATATGTGAAATATAATCAAGTATAATAATATAATAGGTAACGCTTATATAATGTAATAGATAGCGCTTATATAATAAAATATGTTAATTACTTAATTTGTTATTACAACATATTAGGTAAACACTTAAAATGTTACCAAGGATAACATAACCGGTTAATTAATGGAAAC